ATGTACTCTTATGTCTATTGTTCACTTAGTACACTTAAGATTCAACCATGTTATTGGGTGGATCAGCACTTCCTTTTATTGCTGCATAGAATTCCACTAATGGATGTACCAAATTGTATTTAGGCATTTATATATTATAGAGATTTTCAATGTTTGCCAAATTTATATGATTATAACTAAAGCACTATGTACATCCATGGGATAAACTTTTATAGAAATATATGTTCATTCCTCTTGGATAAATACTCAGGAGTAAAGTGAATGGGTCAATATAAAAAAATTTAGTTGCTCCACATCTCAACAAATTATTGTTTTGTCCTGTTTTTAACTTCTACCTCATTTGGATTACATGATGTTTATAACTTGTAAAAATTTACTTACTAGCCATTTGTACATTTTTGGTTTTATTTGCCTATTTTCATTTTAGTCATTTGTCTTAATATTGAATTGTAGCATCTGCTTATATATTTTAGATACAAATCTTTGTCACATATATTAATTTTCAATTATTCACTTTCATTGTTACTTTTGAAACTAATCACTTTAAAAAGAAAGCTTTGAAATTTTGATAAGTTTCAACTTATCTTTTATTAGATGAAAATTATTTTCCCTAAGAGATGTCAAAAATCACAAAGGCTTTCTTCTAGTTTTTACTATATTTTTAACTTTTACATTTAGATTTGGCAAACTGAATTTCAAAATAAATATTGTGTTTAATGTGTAATAAAGTCAGAGAGTCATTTTTTTCTTTTGTAGGTAGACAGGTATTCTCGCAATTTTTTTTTTTTTGAAGACTTTTCAAACTTTATACTGATGTGCCTAGGTACTTTTGCCAGAAAAAATAATTAATCATATCCATCCATGTCTCTTTCTAAACTCTAATCTAGTCCATTGATTTATATGTCTATATTTTTGGACTATAGTTTTTTTATTTTAAAGTAATACAAGCAGATATTAATGAAGAATATTAAAAAGTTCTTGCCAGGGATTTAGCTCAGCGGTTCGGTGGCCTGCCTTGCAAAAACGCAAGGACCCAAATTCAATCCCTGGTACTGAAAAAAAAAAAAGTTCTTGCCGGGTGTGGTGGCTCATGCCTGTAATCCCAGAACTCAGGAAGATGATGCAGGAGGATCGCTGTGTGTTCGAGACCAGCCTGGGCTGTTTAGTGAGTTCCAGGTCAGTCTCAGCTACATAGTGAGACCTTGTCTCAAAAAATCAGAACAAAAAGGTTCTATAGAAAAATATTTTATCACAACAAATATAGGTAGAGAATAACAATGGTAAATACACTGTGTACCATGATCTTAGGATATATTTTCAATTGCTAATCTATCTCTTCACTCATTTCCTAATAATACTACAGTTTTTGCATAAAACATTTTAATTATTAGCAAAGTATCTCACACCTGGAGTAATTTTGAATGATTTCTTCCTATTTTACTACATCTATGATGTACTTTGGTCCTTATTTATACTTTGTTTCTCACACTACAGAGACAATGTGATATTTACAAGTGAGCTTGATAAAATTAATATATTTTCTTTCCTGACCTTCTCTGTTATTTTAAATGATTTTACTCTTTAAAATGATTCACATTGAGGCTATACTTTTAAGTGAAATAAATAGGACACACTTGAGTAAATACCAAATAGTTTCTTTGGTGAGAAAAATTTCAGTAAATAAGGATCAAATTGTATAACTGATAGTATGAAATACGAAGAAAATGGCTAAAGGGAAAGTAGGAAGGGGAGCGGAAAGGAAATAAGGAAAAAGTAAAAATGTGAAAAAAGGAAAAAATGGAAAAAAAGACTTTGTAAATAGGGAAGGGTGAAGGAGGTGAAGGGAGGGCAGGGCTTGGGGAAAAAATAAAAGCCAAGACTTACCACATGAAGGTACAATATTCCAATGATAAATGTAACTGTATTGTTTGCTTTAAATGTACCAATTAACTTAATGGGAGGGAAAATGATTCAAAGGACTGATATCTGAGAGTAATCAAAGAAGTCTCTGTTTGGTAATTCTATTTTCTTTCTTTCTTTCTTTCTTTCTTTCTTTCTTTCTTTCTTTCTTTCTTTCTTTCTTTCTTTCTTTCTTTCTTTCTTTCTTTCTTTCTTTCTTTCTTTCTTTCTTTCTTTCTTTCTTTTTTTTGTACCAGAGATCGAGCTTGGGCACCCCCGACCCTTCCTTTGTTTGGGATGAAAGAAAAGCTACAACCTTGTGTTTAATTGTAGCTGAGAATTTTGTGAATGCATTCAGTTTGTTTAGGCTTGATGTTAGCATAATTAAGATGGTATTTTGTTCCCTGCTTAAACTCAGAAGTTGTATATATTTTCAAGCATAATTTATCATTGAGAGGTATTCTTTTTCTTAACTTAAAGTGCTAGTGCTGCTCTCTGTTCACAGCAAACTTGGGAGGAATAATCAGAATTCTCCCATATAATCTCCGCCCACACAGTTGTATGGTATACACCTGGTGAACCTATATCAACACACCATAATCACAGAAATCCATTCACTCTGGTTTTGTACATTCCACATGTCTGGATGATGCTTTTTGAACTACTGTTAAATCATTTTTATGGTTGCATGATAGTCCATTTCATAATTATACTACATTTTGCTTTTCCATCCTCTTTCCGATGGATATTTTCTTTGTAAGATCTGGACTCTAATAAATAAAGATGTTGTGAACATTGTTGCACATTTTGTTAATGTGTTTTCATTTTTCTTTGGTAACTATCTAGCCCTGGCCCTGCATAGGAGTGTACATCTAAATTTTTTTGAAATGCTCAACTGTTTTCCAAAGTAGTGGTTCATTTATACTCTCACCTGTGCAATGAATGAGAATCTTAGTTCCAATTTCCCCTCTGCTTGACAGCACCTGGAAGCATCATTTTTGTTACTTTTAGTCATCTTAATGGCTGTGAAATGGTATGTGTTACATTATTAATTTTACTTTTCCTTACTGTAAAGAAAAAACTTTTATTCTCAATTATTTGCGTGTTTTTTTTTTAATTATTAAATGACAGTTCAAATTCTTGGGTCATTTTTTAAAACTTAGTTTGTTTTCTTTTGCTCATTGACTTCTGAGTGTTCTCTCTATGTTCCAGGTATAATTTCTTTGCCACATGTATTATGAATTTTTTCCATTGAGTTTACTGGTACATTTTAGGCATATGTTTTCATCTTCTTAATGGCATATGTTTTCATCTTCTTAATGACTTTTGATTAGCAGAAGTTTAAAATGTTCATAAAGTGTACTTTTTCTGAATTTAGTCTTGTCTGCTGTCATAAAATGGTAGCTTAAACAGCTCAAATTTATGATTTTACAGCTCTATAGTTCTATCATAGTTCTGAAAGGGCTAAAATCAAAGCATCATCAGACTCTATCACTTCCTGAAGGCTCTAGGAGAAAATATATGTCCTCTTTTATTTTGCTCTTGGCAGAATTCAGCTCCTTTTATTTGCAGGATTGAAATGCAGTTTTCTTGGGGCCTGTCAGTCAAATATTCTGAGCCTCTAAAGGTTTCCTGCATTCTTTGTTCCTGACTTCTTCCTCTCTCTTCAAAAGCAGTAATGGAATGATGAGCACTTTTTATATTTTGAGTCTCTTCTTTTTTCTTCTGCTGTAGCCCTCTCTAACTAGGCAGAAAATGTTTTCTTTTTGAGTCATGTGACTAGGTTGAGCCCACCAAGATAATGTCATCTGTAGATATATGTACTCTTTTTTAAAATCTGCAAAATATCACTTGACATATAAGGTGAGATATTCACAGGTTATACAGATTAAGTAATGGACATTTTCTGGAAGCTACATCATCACTTTTATTCTTTAAAAATTAGTGCACACCTGTAATCCCAGCACTCAGGAGGCTGAGGCAGGAGGGTTGCTGTGAGTTCAAGACCAGCCTGAGCTATGTAGTGAGTTCCATGTCAGTCTCAACTACATAGTGAGACCCTGTCTCAAAAAAATAATGTAGTGCCTTTTCTTTCCAAGAAATATTCTCTCCCTCTATTATCACAAAAATTTTAATAGTTTGAATATGTGAATCTACGATTATTTTGAATTAATTTGTTTAAAGTAAGATTTTCCTCTCCCTAGAATTATCAATTTGTTACAAGAATACTTGCTGAAATAATAGATTTTTTATGTATTTATTTATTTGTGGCTTCTAAAATTCTATGGATCTGTCAAAGACTCACTGTGTGTGTATATTTTTGGAAATAGACTAGGTATTAAAAAATCAATAAATTTGAAACCACTAGTACTCAAGTTACTCATAATTTTCACTGAGAAGATTATTTGTGCTTAAAACATAGACTCTATCTTGTTTTGTTATCAGGAAGAGGCAAACACAAATTCAGATTTCCTCATATTAATTTGCATTTCCTCTTCCCTCCATTTAAATATCAACTATGTGCATGTGTGATTTTTGGGGCCACATAATTGACTTACCATTGATTTTGTTTTAGAGGTTTTTTTTTAAAGTACTACATTGTTAGAAAAACAATTCTGAAAATGAAAAACAACAAGAACAATAAAAAGCAAACATAATCAAACCCTTGAAAGGAAAGCAAACTAGACCTTGTATTCTAGCTATGGAGTACATTTGGTTTAATGTAACCCTCATAGCATTTTTTAAAAATGATATGGGTTTTGGCAAGTAGAAGATGCTGTTGAGAAAGACAGAGACATTGAACTCTTTAATGATTTTGTTCTAAATACTTTTGTCCATCAAAAGATTAGATCACATTTCATGAAAGTAGAGAATGATGGAAGTTATCCAGTTCAGGAGGAAAGAGATATTAGTTCATTGCTTAGGAAAACCTCCCCATGACTGAGAGAGCAAGAAAGACTTGTTTTTTTTATAAACGCTGTTTCATTTTTCACACACAGTATCCTGTGTATGGTTGGAATATTTTATAATTTCACGAGTTTCCAGTTACACAGAATCAGGAGTACCCTCTATAATTTTGTAACACAGTGTTCTTGGCACAGGGAGCTGGCAAAACCTTGTAAGAAGATGGTTTCAGCAATTCCTATACAAACTTACTACTGAGAATATGGCCATGACAGAAATGGTGAGGACTGTAAAGGTTCACATGCAGTCTGGTGAGTGAATACCCACGCAGCCTGTCTCCACACTGTTGTCAGAAATAACAGCCAACAGTGTCTATATTTAGCAAAAGAACACCTCGTTTTTTTTTTATTTGTTTGTTTTTTGTTTTTTTTGCACTGGGGATCAAACTCAGGACCTTGCACTTGCCAGGCAGGCGTGCTGCCACTGAGCTAAATCCCCAGCAAGACCCGCCCCCGTATTAATTGTTATATCAGTATATATTTTATTTCAAGAAGTTTCTCTTTCCTATTTTTCCTGTAAGTTTTCAGGTGGTTATTATTTAACTGTGATACAGGAGAAGGGAAAACGCATCTGAAGCATAGGATTACAGCCCGTATTACTATGACAAGAAGAGCAAACTTCAAGATAAATTGATTTAATTTAAGCACTTGATGAGAAATTTATATGTATATATGCAATCTGATTCATTGTTGTTACTTATATTTTGTTAGTACTGTTTTACTTATTAAATGTACTTTCATGATTTGTATCCTTAAGTAGATTCAAAAATATAGTTAAATGTGTTTAATCATCTATTAAATTTTAATAATTTTCAAATGATTTCTAAAAAATGAAACATCAGTTTTTTCTTCCATCCATCAGAATTTGGCTGTGCAGCCTATTTACATCTTTCAGAGCAATTAACCCTATTTAAAATCTCTCAGCGGGCGTAGTGATGCCTGCCTGTAATCCCAGCACTCAGGAGGCTGAGGCAGGAGGATTGCTGCGAATTCAAGACCAGTGTGGGCTACATAGTGAGTTCCAGGTCAGTCTCAACTACATAGTGAGACTCTACCTCAAAAAACAATAAATAAATAAATACTCTCCATGTTATGAATATAAATGGCAAGTCTTGCTTTTCCATTTACTAATATGTAAAGAAAATACTTAGAAAATTTTCCTTAAAAATTTAATGTCAATTTTTCAGTATCAATTGGGAGCATGTTTCTTAATTTTAGTTTTTTGAACCTAGCACAAATCTCAATTCAAATTAAAGTTCTTCCAGACACCTGCAGAAAAACAGCAGTTATAACCAATTTCTTGACAAAAATCTCACTCAAATCAGACACAGAAAACAAATATTACAATCTTTGTCTTGTGAAGGAAACTCAAAATATAAATAATTTAAAAAGCAAAATAAAAGAGACATGGTAGGAAGCAGGGAGCTAGTTTTTGTGTAGATGGAGAGAATATTTAGGGAAGTGGTGATTGAAGGGCTGGGAGAAAGTGAAAATCAAAACTATCAAGAGGCTAGGGCTTGTGATTTAGCTCAGTGGTTCTGCTGCCTGCTTCACCAGAACGAGGTCCTGAGTTTTATCCCCATAC